ACTCCCACCCTTCGCGCAACTCCCGGTAAAACTCGAGCCTGCTCAGACCCCTCTCCGCCGTCGCGCACGCCCCCTCGCCAAACTCGGTCCACACGACCCGCACCCTGAGCTCTTCGGCCGCCTTGCGCGCCTCGACGCGCCGTGCCTGCTCGTAGACGTCGCCGCACGGACCCCGCGGGACAGGCGGCAGCGCCCGCTCGGCGACGAGGACGTGCGCGCAGCGGAGGCTGCCCCCGAGGAGCACGTGCGCCGCGTGGATGGCGCAGAGCGCCTTGAGCGCGCGCCGTGCGAGGTCGTTGCTGACAGTCGCGAGTGTCAGGCGCGCCGGATGCATGGGGTGCTCGAGGAGCAGCGCGTCGACGATGTCCGCGTGTGTGTCCAGGAGCGCGGCGCGCGCAGCGGCGGAGAGGGCGGGCAGTGCGAGGGCCTATGTGATGTGCGATGCGTGCAGCTTGAGCGTGCCGTAGCACGTCAGCGCGGAGCCCTCGGCGCACGCGCCGTAGTGCAGGCAGTGCGCGTACGCAGCGCTCTCTCGTGCATACAGACGAGAGGGGCTTGGTTCTTCGGAAGATGAACGACCGGTGCTCGGCGGATACTGGGCGTTTCCCCGGTCAGCTGAACCAAAAAGCCACGCGAGGCAGCTCGTGACGTACGACTTTGAGCAGGCGATGCGTATTCTCGTTGATGCGTATCAGAAAAGCGGGTACGCGCCAATATTCGACCTCTTCCAGGAATGCGACAGATGGCGGAAGATGTACCTCAGGCAGAGGCGGTGGAGGAGCAAGTGTCATCAGTTGGGAGGCGTCCTCTACGGCTTCGTAGTCAATGACGAACGGGTTGCTCCCGTACATGGAAGAGAAGACATTGTGGCCGTCAGTCGCGTTTGCGACAGTGAGGGCGGCCCGGCGCAGCTCGTCTGTGTCGAAAGTTTGGACAATGTCCTCGGGCGGAGACAAGTTGTACACGAACTTGAGGCCGAACGGGCTCTTCTCCGGGTAGGTACGGAGGATCTCCCCACTGGGGCTGAAGGAAGTCATAGCTTCTGTTGGGCGCTCCGGACATTAGTAGCGCTATTGCTTACATAAGCGCATTCACTCTAGTCGCTCTTGCCTGCTTGCCACGCCCATCTATAAAGGTAAGCATGTGTTAGCCTCTTGAAGGTCCGTCATCGTGCATTGTAAACGGCTGATGACTACCCATGCGAATGCGGAGCACGGGCAGAGTTGTCAGCCATAGGGGCCGCCGTCAGCCTCTCTGGGACGGACAAGTCTCCTCGTGCAGACTGAGCTGAAACCCATGCCAATACCCCCACCACCAAGAGCACAAGATGATCAAACACCCTCTCTCAAAGGTACCCAAGCCCGTCACTCCCCTGATGCGTCGTTTCCTGCGAGACGTCTTCAAGCCCACCGTCGCGCTCGGCAAGCGGCGCACGCGGTACATGAACCAGGAGAACCACCCTCCAGCAGACTGGACGCCGACCGAGCCCAACAAGCCGAGCAGCAGCAGCTTCGGCGTCGCGCTGCAGAACGAGGACTCGGAGGACGAAGACGCGGTGGTCATCACCGCGTTGGCCGCCGCGCCCTTCTGCTGCCACGCCGACCTGCTCACCATGGCGCGCCCGCAGCTCGTCGCGGCCGCGCGCACGCTCAACGCCAAGCTCCCGCGCGCGCTGCACGTCGACGCCACGCGCGCGAACGCGTCCATCCGCCGCAGCATCGAGCGCCTCGTCGGCATCCGCAGCAGCAGCAGCGGCAGTAGCGGCAACGACAACAACAGCATCGACAGCGACGCGCCGCGCCGCCGCGCACCGAAGCGCCGCCGCTCGCCGTCGCTGGACACTGCGCCCGACGCCGACGCCGATGCCTCCGCAGCGGAGCACAGCACGGCGCGCGAGGCGCTGTACTTCAGCCCCGTCTCGCCGCTTGCCGCCCGCAGCCAGTCTGCCGCGGCCGTGGCCGCCGCGAGCTGCAGCATGCTGGCGTCCCTGCGCGAGGAGCCGGACGAGGATGAAACCGGAGAGGCTGACCGCCCGAGCAAGCGCCGGCGTACGGAGGAGGATGAGGAAGAAGAAGAAGGAGAAGAGGAGGACGCCTCGCGCGACGGCACGCCCACGTTCTCTCGTGCACCTACCGCACCCTCGAACATCTACTCCCCTGCGCACCGCCTGCACCGCTCGCAGAGCCACCGCCTGCCCGCAGCCCCGGGGCTGCTGCCGCTGCTGCACCGCAACATCACCGTCGCGCGCCCGGGACGGCGGACGCGCTCGCAGAGCGCTGCCGTGCTGACGTCGACGCCGCGCGTGCGCCGCTGGGTGCCGAAGGCGCCGGGGCGGGCCGGCGCGTCTGCGTCTGCGTCGGGAGCAGCGGCAGCAGCAGTGGCGCGCGAGGACAGCCTGAGCGAGCCCTCGAGCGGGGTCTCAGCGGGCACGACGGCGTCGCAGGACTCTCTGGATCGCGTCGAGCGGGTCTCGGGCTGGCTGGAGGGTGGTGGCGGCGGGGTGGAC